GGGCTCCAAGCTGCTTGAGGGGGTCAACCTTGGACCAAAGTTGCCTTAAGCCCCAAGTATAAAAGGGCTTAGGGGAAGGTAAAAGGGCCACAGGTTGGAAGCTGACAGCCTGGCTGGTCCTCCCTTCCTCTCTCCCTTCTGGTGGGTTCCTATAGCCACTGGGCTAATCTCCCCCTTGCTTTAAGCTGTATATAGCCCCCCAGGACAGACCCCTGCCCATGATTTACCCCTTAGTGGCCTGTGTGTTCATAGTGCCCCCTTGCCGTTAACTCCCCATCTTCTCCCTGAACTCTGACTCCTATTTATCACGTACTCACTGACTCTGAGGAATGCAGAGGGAAGCCATTGGGCCTACTTGCTTCCTGTCCCCGAAACTGTCCTTTTCTTCTGAAGTAAATATACATATATAAATAAATGTATAAATACTGCTTTGTATCTGAACTTGCCTCCTGGCGTCTTCTTGAGATTGTTCTGATGGGAGGGGAGCCATCTCAGGCCAAGCTGGCTAGAATCTAGTTTCTGAGGGGCCTAGAATATCCTGGCCCCCACACCAGAGGGCCAGAGAGCCACTCCAGATCTTCATGCCCCTCATTCTTGGATTTGAGGGTTGTGTTGGCCACATGCACCTCCAGCAAACCTCCTCCATGGACCTGCCACTGCCCACCTGGAAAGAACCTAGCTCAGGGAACAGGTTGGGCCTGGAGGACCACAGCCACAGAATGGTGGCTGAGTCCAGGGAAGACTGGCCCAGGGTAGAACTGACCGGAGCAGTTTGCTCGAAAACAACTTAAAAGTAGGCCTGGACCCTTCCCATTGGCAGGTAAGCTTCAAAGTAACGACAAGACAACACTGCCACACAGCCCTGGCCCAGGAAGAGAACACCAACTCCCAGCATCAGGTGAAAGGCAGCTAAGAAGTGGGAGAGGGTGGGAGTTTACAGTCAAGGAGACCCCAGTAGCCCCACCCCCGCCCCCAAATGGACACGAGGCAGGTCTGTCACACATCTGTCTTTATTGTAAACAGCAGGTGGGACACTTGGAGCAATGGTAAAAAATTAATTTACAAAAGCAGGGACTTGGTGAAGCTGCCTGGTGGGTACCTGGAAGAGGAAAGCAGAATTAAGAATGAGCCCAATGACCTTCTACAGCCCCTCCCTGTAGCCCCAGGCTCCTTGAGCACAAGGGCTGTGCAAGAGTCACTGAAGATGGTCACCAGAATGGATTTTCAGTAACCTGTTTGGTGCTTATCTGTTTTAATTCCCAGATCCTTTCCAAGTCACTGGTATGACTTGGAAGAATGCAGATGTAAAAACACAGGTAGCCCTCACCCACAGCCCTACCAAGTACACCCCAAAGCTTGAGTGAGGCCTTGTGTAATGTGGAGAACTCAGAACTGACACACCAGGTCACACTTGGCTCAAATCCCCATGAGGGTGGGGAGAGAGTCCTGATGTACCCCAGTGTTTCTGTCCCCATGGCGCACTGATATATATGGCTGCAGGAGGCTTCTTCAGGCATGTATCATCTTGTTACAGCTCTTACCCTTGTGGACTCATACGTAGATGCCAACCCAGAGCAGGAGGAAGAGGACTCCAAAACCCATGAAGAGTGAGGCCACCAAGGAGATGAGGAGCTCTTTGTAAATATCACGTGTGTACTTGGTGGAGGTGACCTCGTAACTAGGCCAGTTAAGGAGAAGCAGAGAGAGCCGGGCGGTGGTGGCGCACGCCTTTAATCCCAGCACTTGGGAGGCAGAGGAAGGCAGATCTCTGTGAGTTCAAGGCCAGCCTGGTCTCCAGAGCGAGTTCCAGGACAACCAGGGCTATACAAAGAAACCCTCTTTCAAAAAACAAAAGACAAGCAAAGATGGACTACAGTGAAGGAGCTGTCTAGGATTACTCAATGTGGGGAAACACAGGCTAAGGGCTTCCTGGGAGGCTTGTCTGGCTTGGTGCAGCCAGGCAGAGGGGTCCAAGAGATGACATAGGCTCCAATGCTCCACAGCATACCTCTAACACCCACGAGGAAAAGAAGCCCACAGTAGTTAGGCCAATCACCTCTAATCACATCTTACTCATGGTACAGCTAAGACTAGGCACCAGACTTCCTCACACTTGAGCATATCCCTGCTTAAATCACCTTCCTGCTGGTGCAGTGGTGTACACCTGTAATCCCAGCACTCTCTAGAGGCAGAGGTAGGTGGACCCTTGTGAGTTTCGGCCATGTCTGCACAGTGAGACCCTGTCTCAAAACAAAACCAATCCCCTAAATACCAACAAACCATCTTTCGAACCTTAGTTCTGTCTCAAGAACAAACTGAACTAACGTAAAGTTGGAAACCAAGGCCATGGCCTGCCCTGGGCATCACCAGCCTCCTCCTATACTCACCTTGTCTCAACCCCACCTAAAGGAAAAAAGTAGCAGGGTGTAGTTATCCAATGTGGAGAAACCAATGTGGTTTCTCCCTCAGTTCTTTGGCCACTAATTCTGGCTCCCTGGCTGTTTAATAAAAGGATACACGAAGAACCAGGCGGTGAAGAACATGCCGATGGCCAGAAGTACCACAGTCAGGTGTGGGAAGACAGCTGGGTTGACCGGGCTGGTGTACCTACTCATGGCCTCGAGCTCCTAGGGAAGAAAGGAGATCAATCTTAGTTTCAATCTGGGGAGACTCTGGAGCAGCTATGTACTACTGAGACTGTTAGAGGCACACTTCAGCCTGGGAAATGGAGAACTCCTTCAAGTGATTCACTATGGGAATGGAAATTCCAATAATTTTGTGTGTGTGTGTGTGTTTGTGTATGTATATATATATATATATGTATATGTATATGTATATATGTGTAAGCATTTTTAAAGTTTATAAATTTAGCTACTCTGCATGTATATGGGTGTAGCATGGGGAGGTCAAAGGACAACTTGCAAAAGCTGGTTTTCTCCTTCCATCATGTGGATCCCAGGGACTGACCTCAAGTCACCAGGCTTGACACAGCAGGTGTATTTACCTGCTGAACCATTTTGCAGGTCAGCCTCACTACCCACTTTCTTTTTAAATTTGTGAGGGGGTTAAAGGACAACTTTCTGAGAGTCACCTTCTGCTGTGTTTGAGGCAAGGTCTCTCTTTTTTCTCTGTTTTTTGTTTTGTTTTGTTTTGTTTGGGGGGGTCACTGTGACGCGCACCCCAGGTTAGTTGGCCCTCAGGTTTCTGAGTGCTTCTGCTTCCATTTGCCACCTTGCTATGAGTTCTGGGATTACCACAACTGGCTTTGAAAAATAATGTGGGTTCTAGGATCTAGACTCAGGTCAGGCTTGCACACCAAACCCTTTTACCCACTGAACCATCTCCCCAGCCTTACAATCACATCTTAAAGTAGGGATGTGACAGGCTGTGGGGTAGAACATTTGCATAGCATACATGAAGTCTTGCGTGTGATCCCCAGCACTGGAAAAAACAAACAAACAAACAACAAAAAAAAACAGTAACAAAGCATGGAGGTGGCAGCTTTTCTTTCCATGAGATAAGAAGAGAAGCTGAGTCAGAGGCTCAGGTATAGAAAGGGATAGAGATAAATAGCTCTTAGGATTTTCTAGCCAGTGACCACTAAGACAATCATGGATCTGTCTGGAGAAAAAACACATAAAGAAAAAGCTTGCCCACAATCTCCATTGCTTTTGGACGTGTGTCCAGACTCTCAAGCACTAATCTGTGCAGGAAGCCAAAGCCTAGCACCCAGATCTCAAGTTCTAATTCAGAACTCTTTTCACTACATTAGGCGGGAACCACAGGGACATCTGGCAGAAGACAATTGTGATAATTCTGGCTTTACTGAATCATTGGAGTTTGAGTTAAGTAGTTATAATAGTACTTGTTTCACAGGTCTGATGCATGATTGGAGAAAGATAAATGTTGACACACCGAGTTTACTGCCCGGCATAGAGTAACTGCTCAATAGGCATTTGTTTCCTTCCTAAGGTTGCAGAGAAGATTATGAGATAATGCCCGTGAGAGAGCTAAACGTAAAGTTCTGTACAAATGTTAACTTCTATTGTCACTTGCCAGCCAATGCTTCTAAAGTCCAGAACATAACAACTCCCGAGAAGTAAACTGAACCCATTGTTCTAAGAGACACAGGAATTCAATTCAGTAAACAATTATGTTCCCCTTGCCCCCCTAAAAAAGCCAAAGACAATTGCGGCCATTTATGGAGCCTCCAATTGCAGGCCCAGTGTTTGGCAACAGGAATACAAAGATGAATAGAGAGCATCCCAGAACTAGATGCAGTCACTAGGAGGCGTGGCAGATAAAAGAAGCCCATGAAACGTGGCAAGAGGCGTATAGAGACTGAGAGCTCCCAGCAGACAGACAAGTGCCTGTGAGTGTTGCAAGTGTTTCACCAGGTAATGAAATTTACCCCAGGGCCTTGCAGGATGAGTTCAGCAGGCGAAACTTTCCAGAGAGCGATAATTGATCACAGGAAAGAGAAATAAAAGTGCGAAAGTATTCAAAGTGCACCCCCACGCCCCTCAGCCTTATAGTCAACGATATCATAAGGCCATTGTGATGGAAACCTCAGTCTGAGAAATCCATGACAAGGGGCTTGCCTTCCCCGTCCCCTAAGTCAAACATAGGATCCAGCAGCGACCCACCCTCGGCACACGGAATGCTGAGGGCTCCGCGGAAGAACGCGGTGTGGACCGGACACCCAGGAATCCTGGCCCACAGCCTTGTCCACAACTCCCACCATCTCACCATTTTGCCCCGCACAGGATAAACCACCGGTCCACCACCACCGGAAGAACACGTCGGCAGGAGCAAGCGCGTTGAGCAACAGGAAGAGGATGTAGTCCCTCCAGCGTGGCATTGTGGGATTTGTAGTCCCCTGGTTTCAGATGTAGCGGTAACTGGGACCATGAGGACTTGGTGTGAGTGGCGTGGGGTCGGACTGTGGGGGAGGGTAGTGCAGGGTCTCTGTTTTAATCCGTTTTTCCCGGAAATAAGACCCACTACGAAAGCTACTGTCTGAAGTGGCGGGGTCTGCACTACATTTCCCAGGAGTCTGTTCGCGGCGGTGGATCACGTGACCGGAGCGCGGGCTTTGGAAGGCGGCGAGGCTGGAGAAGGCTTTGGTTCTGCATCAGAAGCGCGGGCTCGGGACTGTCCTGAGGACGCTGGGGACACCGGACCGCCACTAGTTGCCGACGCTTCGGGCAGTGGAGGTAGGGTGAAGCCTTGCGGGAGCGACTCTGAAAGCGGCGAGTATCGCGGGAGCAGCACCAGGCGGCCCGGGCCTTGGACCTTTCGCGCTGCTCTGAGCCTCTCTCTTCACCGGTAGGAAGGCGATAATCTTCCCCTGTGAGGACTAAGGCCCTGTACCAAAGCCACTAGAAACGACTTGTTCAGTCCCCTTTCCTGCCCGAGTCTGCGGGGTACTGCGAGGGGAAGACAACTATCAGGGTATTGCTAGGTTTGGGGGAGAAACGGGGTTCGAGAGAGGCGGAGAGTTTGTTAGCTGGCAGTTCGGGGACCTCAGCCCCCGGGAGAGACCAGAGCCCGTTTCTCTGGGGGCCCTTGTGAGGAGTATGGAGCGGGGTGGTTTTGTACCTCTAAGGAAATGGGTCCAAGGTCTGCTGACATCTTTTCTTTTTTGGGGGGGGTGGGAGTGGGGTTGTTATTGTTGTCAAGAGACACTGCTTATGTTGTTGTTGTTGCTTGTAGACGAAGCTGGTTTCTTTTTTGTAATTTTATATTCAGTGGTTATTTGCCTGCAGGTATGTCTGTATGAGGGTGTCAGAAGCCCCGGAACTAGAGTTACAGACAGATGTGAGCTACCATGTGGGCGCTGGGAGTTGAACCCGGGTCCTCTGGAAGAGCAGCCAGTGTTCTTAGCCCCTGATCATCTCTCCAGCCCCCGAGACACTGTACTTTCTTATATTACTGGCCGAGGGGGGGGGTGTTGGAAAAGCCCTAGGGACATTTCTGGGTAAAGGAAGTCTGAAAGATTCTGAAGAACTGGACCCAGTTAATACGGTGGTTGATCAGTTGACCTTGGGGCAGGGGTTTTTATCCTCCCTACAGCCATTCCATTTAAGGCTTTGCCATCTGGAAGGTGGCAGGGCTGTGATGGTATCAGGACAGAACAGGTCCCCCTCTGTGACACTGGGTACTGTCATGCACTTACTCTAGCAAAGCAGTAAGTGAAGTGTGAACCAGAGGGTTAAATGGGGAACATGGGCACAGCATCTGGTGATGTGTGCTTTCCATCTGGTGTGTCGCTTGACCAGTTCTGCAAAGCAGAAATGCTTCTTCTTATTTTACAACTCAGACCACAGAATAAGTAACTTAATTGTGTTTCACAGAGCTGAAGATGTGGCTCAGTGTAGAGCACTGGCATGTGTGAGGTCCTAGGTCAGTCCCCATTGTTATACACACGCTCAACACACCAAGTGGTTTCACGGATGGTGGCTGGATTCAAAGCTGGGCATTTTATTTGATTTCTAGTGCCAGGGCATCAACCCGGAACTTCAGCTGTACCAGTGAGCTACAGTCCTCAGCCCTAAGGCTGAACTTTTGATGCTTGTATTCATGGGGGAACCACAATAATACAAACCAGGAAGAAGTGAGAAACGATGGCAGGAAGAAGACACAGCTGAGCCAAAGAGAGAGGCTGTTCTTTTCATTAGGTTTCCCTGCTGCACAGGTCGATTATGCTGCCATGTGTGCTGAGGTGTTTGGACTGGGGGGGGCGGGGATGGAGGGAGTATAAGTGTCACTTAGGTTTCAGAAAAGAATTGATAAGATTTTCTTATTGTGTGGAAACACTATCATTGGGCAAGCAAAATGGCATTAGTAAACTATGTATTAGAAAATCCTTTCATTATGCATTTAACACAAAAAATGACTGATATATGCAGACACCCCCTCCCCCGTCAAGACAGGGCTTCTCTGTGTGTATTCCTGGCTGTCCTGGAACTAGCTTTGTAGACCAGGTTGGCCTTGAACTCACAGAGATCCACCTGCCTCTGCTTCCCGAGTGCTGGGACTAAAGGTGTGCGCCACCACTGCTCAACACATGCAGATATTTTTGCTTAAGGTGGATTCTCTTTCCCAACTTAAGTTTTTGTTTGTTTTTTTGAAACATGGTTTCATTGTAACCCTGGCTGGCCTGGGACTTGCTATATAGACTAGGGTGGCCTTGAACTCAGATCCACTTGCCTCTGCCAAGTGCTGGGATTAAAGGCATGTGCCATTGCCCAGCAGTGGTGGCACACACCTTTAATCCCAGCACTCAGGAGGCAGAGACAGGCAGATCTCTGAGTTAGAGGCCAGTTTGGTGTACAGAGTGAGTTCTAGGACATCTGAGGCTACACAGAAACCCTGTCTCAACAACACCTCCCCCCCAAACTCAAAAATAGTCCCCCTCCCTTTCCCTTTTATTTTCATTAGAGTCCATTTAAAGAAAAATATTAGATGAAGGAAAATTCTATTTCATTTGGGAGGGGCAAAAATTGTGAGGGTAGTTTGGAAACACTGTCCCAGGAACAAGTTGATGGAAGTCTTGAACCACAGAATTGCAGTATTGGGTTGTGTGAGTCTAGCTTGCCAGCCCTTAATCAGGACCTGTGGTAGGAGTCATGAGGTTCACGTTTCAGACTTAGTGGTGGGAAGAAAGCACAAAGAGGAGGATTTAAAACTCCTCCGGCATCCTGCCGAAGACAAACTCCAGGGATGCCGAAGGAGGGCTAGCAGCGTGGGAGACAGCCCCGTCCTCATTCAGAAGTGGGTCCTTCAGGGCAGAGAAACAATGAATCAGACAGGGCCGTATTTGCATAGCTGGTGTTTACCTGCTCCTGAGGGCACACTTCTGCTGATGAGCTCAGGGTTCTTCAGACTGAGCCACGCACTCTTGTCCTCTGTGATCCTTGATGAGGATGAAAGGTGAAGTCCTTCTTTGTGTGACAGGTTGTGCCGTTGTGTTATTTGGAGCCCTTAAGTTACTCAGGAACATCCAGGGTCTCATTCCCAAAGCACCTGATGAGCTCCCGATACTTGGGCGGTGTTAATTGGGTGCACTGTGGATGTCTTGAGAGTGGTGCATCTTGTTCACCTTTGCTGCTTCTGCTGACTGGAGTCTTGTTTTTCTCGTTAAATTTGATTAAACATGAAATTGGTGGATGTTGCTAGTTATAACCTTTGTTCCTTTTGTCCTCCAAGATCCCCCTCTTATTTCTCTCTCTTTGTTTTAGCCATCGCTCCTGTGTTACCATGGGAATTCAAGGCCTTGCCAAACTAATTGCTGATGTGGCTCCCAGTGCCATCCGGGAGAATGACATCAAGAGCTACTTTGGCCGCAAGGTAGCCATTGATGCCTCCATGAGCATTTACCAGTTCCTGATTGCTGTTCGTCAGGGTGGGGATGTGCTGCAGAACGAGGAGGGGGAGACCACCAGCCACCTGATGGGGATGTTCTACCGCACCATCCGCATGATGGAGAACGGCATCAAGCCCGTCTACGTCTTCGATGGCAAACCACCACAGCTGAAGTCAGGTGAGCTGGCCAAACGAAGTGAGAGGCGCGCCGAGGCCGAGAAGCAGCTGCAGCAGGCCCAGGAGGCTGGGGTAGAGGAAGAGGTGGAAAAGTTCACCAAGCGGCTGGTGAAGGTCACCAAGCAACACAATGATGAGTGCAAACACCTGCTGAGTCTCATGGGCATCCCGTACCTTGATGCACCCAGTGAGGCGGAGGCCAGCTGCGCTGCCCTGGTGAAGGCTGGCAAAGTCTATGCCGCAGCCACGGAGGACATGGACTGCCTCACTTTTGGCAGCCCCGTACTAATGCGACATCTGACTGCCAGTGAGGCCAAGAAGCTGCCCATTCAGGAGTTCCACCTGAGCCGAGTCCTGCAGGAGCTGGGTCTGAATCAGGAGCAGTTTGTAGACCTGTGCATCCTGCTGGGTAGTGACTACTGCGAGAGTATCCGGGGCATTGGGCCCAAGCGGGCCGTGGACCTCATCCAGAAGCATAAGAGCATTGAGGAGATCGTGCGGCGGCTGGATCCCAACAAGTACCCTGTTCCAGAAAACTGGCTCCACAAGGAAGCTCAGCAGCTCTTCCTGGAGCCTGAGGTGCTGGACCCCGAGTCTGTGGAGCTGAAGTGGAGCGAGCCAAATGAAGAGGAGTTGGTCAAATTCATGTGTGGGGAAAAGCAGTTTTCTGAGGAGCGAATTCGCAGTGGGGTCAAGCGACTGAGTAAGAGCCGCCAGGGCAGCACCCAGGGCCGCCTAGATGATTTCTTCAAGGTGACCGGCTCACTCTCCTCAGCTAAGCGCAAGGAGCCAGAACCCAAGGGGCCTGCCAAGAAGAAAGCAAAGACTGGGGGAGCTGGGAAGTTCAAGAGGGGAAAATAAACGTGTCCTCCCTCCATTGTCCCCGGACCGGATGTCTGCTTCGTACCCTCAGTGCTCGCTCCTCTTCTGAAGAGAGGCCGCTTCTTCCCAGAACTGCCTTCAGAGCCTCCCCTTTCTTACTTGACGTTGCGGCAGGAAGGCACAGCTTTGCTTGTCCTCATTTTTAGCTCAGGAATGATGTCAGGCTCAAACCACTTCTCAGGCAGGTTATCGGACACTGCACCCATTGTGCTGTGAAACTGAAAGCAACACTTTCGAAAGAAGCAGATAAAGATGGTCTGGGGTGGGAGTGTGGGAGAGAATTCCCTGGCTGGCCGCTGTGGGTGGGGTGACTGTAGACCTTGACTGTTCTTCAGCCCCCAGCCCAGGCTTAGCTGTGAGGAGAAGGGGCAAGCAGCCAGGAGTCGGCTGACAGCGGCCTCGATTACTGACTGCCTTGTCTTGTGGGTCTCCAGGGCTTTTTCAGGGCAGGGAAGGGGCAGTGTTGGAGGTTTGGGTTTGTAGTTTTGTTTTTGTCCCGTTCCTCTCCAGTGCTGGGAACTGAACCCAGGGCAAGGCAAGCAAGCACGCATACCACTGACTGTAACCCTGAGAGACACTGCTGATGGCCTTTCTGAGGCAATCAATTGAATTGAGGTTTTGGGAGAAGCAGCTATTGTTCATGTGCTATTTCTATTTTAATAGATGTGAAGAGAAAAAAAATCAATAAAATTATAAAAGTGACCAGAATGTGGTGTTCTTTGAGGACATGTGAAAACACCCTTAGTGCTTCAAGTTCCTGTAGAATATAATGCTCTCCTTTCCCCACTAAAATTAGGTGACAGGCTGGGATTGCTCTGCTAACAAGTGGTTTGTTTAAGAGTGACCACAAGGTGGCGCCATATCCCGTGTAATGTGGCCACAGCAGCTATGGTGGCACCAGGCTTTTGTGCTTCAGTTTTAGTTTGGCTGGATTTCACATGTTCCACCTAGTCTGTGAGGTAAAGGAGTCCCCTTGAACAGTCTTGTAATTTAGATTAACTTCAGCATAACATCCAGGCAGTTTGTTTTGCCACTGGGTGAATAGCTGCCATTCAGAAACCTTTTTCCTATTGAGATTTCAGGTTCTCAGGATGAATGTTTGCAAGCTTTAGAGAACTGGTGCATTAGGGTTCTCTAGAGGAACAGACAGATAGAATGTGTTATATATATATTGAAAGGGGTTCATTAGATTGGCTTACAGGCTGTGGTCCTGCTCGTCCTAGCAATGAGTGTCTGGCAAAAAGGCCAAGAATTCAGTAGAGTCCACAAGGGGTACTTCAACTGGTCTTCAGTCTCCATGAAGACTCCTAAAGAAGCAGGTTCTAATACAAGAAAGAATCTCAGGGAGAGGGTGCAGTCAAGAAGCAGGAGCTCCCTTCCGTGTCCTTTTTGTGTGGGCTGCCGCTGGGAAGTGGCCCAGAATTAGGGTTGCTCTTCCTACCTCACATCCTCCACACATGTGCCCGGCTGCTTGGGTTTTAGCTGATTCCAGATGTGGTCAAGTTGACAACCAAGGTCAGCCGTTACAGCTGGTAAAGCTTAGTGGGGAGCCAGCCAGCCTTTGGTTCTGATTTCACAGTTCTGTTAATAGCACACAACTTTTAAGTTGAAAATTCCTTGACAGATTGAGAAGACTAATACTATTGGTTTTCAAGTCCTTAAAAATTAATTTTATTATATGGTGGGGGCAGGTGTGTGTGTGTGGTAGTGCATGCGTGTGTATGTGTGTGTTAGCATGTGTAGAGGTCAGATTTCAGGGATCTTCTCCACTGCGTGTTTATGAAGATTGAATTCAGGTTGTCAGGGTTTTTACCTGCTGTGTCTTTGCACAATGGCTTTCCATCTCCTCCCTAGCGTTGCCCGTGTCCCCCCCCCACCCCCCGCCCCAGAGCGCACACACACAGAGTCTTGCTATGTAGCCCTGGCTGGCCTGGAACTCTAGTAGACTGGGTAAGCCTTGAATCAGTATTTTCTAAGTGAAGTCTTGGGTAAATATAGACACTGTAAATTGTATCCTGAGGGCAGCGTGGAACCGACTGCCAGATTAAAGCGAGCTGCACTTATTTGAGTTTTTTTGATTCCACAATCTGATTCTAGACCTGCAGCCTGCAGTGGCAGTGTGCTAAGTGCGTGCCCAGGCTGCACTCTGCCTCAGCCCAGCGGCTCCCACCCTGTGGTCAGCAAGCATTTAGAGTCCTGGCTTCTTTACATTTGAACTGCTTAGCCTTTGCCAAGGTTCCTGGTGTGTGCTTGTTGTGATGTTTCACCCAGGAGAGCTGTTGAAGCACAATGAAGAGTTGAGAGGCATTGCTCTGCAGTCTGACTGAGGCATCGTTGGCAGAGACAAACGGGACTTGAAAGTATAACCATTTCGAAATTAGAAATGGGCTTAAAGGGGGGAATGACTCAAAATGGAAAGTTGAAGGGCGAGGGTGAGGACATTGAACGGCGACATCCATGAGCTGGCCGGAGTACCGCAGCAGCACTGCATCTCCACAAATGAGTGTCACGGGAGGAACCTGGCTTTGTCAGACTTACACAATCCTGCCCAGCTTATACAAGGGAACTGGCAGCGATCTGTGTTCCCAAGGGAGCTGAGCACACAGCGGGGCGGGGACTTAGAGCAGCAGCACCAGGGAATAGTATGTATATATGTGTACGTGTTCCTGCATGTTTGAATGTCAAAAAGGCAGAGGTCAATATCAAGTATCTTTTTTTTTAAAGATTTATTTATTAATTATGTATACAATGTTCTGCCTGCATGTATACCTGCAGGCCAGAAGAGGGCACCAGATCTCATTACAGATGGTTGTGAGCCACCATGTGGTTGCTGGGAATTGAACTCAGGACCTCTGGAAGAACAGCCAGTGCTCTTAACCGCTGAGCCATCTCTCCAGCCCCTCAAGTATCTATCTTAGCCACTCTTATTTTTAGAGGCAAGGTCTTTTACTGAACCAGAAGCTCACCGATGTGTCTAAGGTGGCCGATTAGCAAGCTCCAAGGATACACCTTGCCCTGTGCTGAGTTCTAGACCTCACATCTGGCTTTTACATGGGTTCCGCGGATCTGAACTCAGGTCCTCAGGCTTGGGCAGGAGTGTTTTGCCAGCTGAGCCAGCTCCCCTGCCCTGCACCAGGGAATCTGGTAGACATGTGCAGACAAGCAGTGTGGATTTTAAATGAATAATAACATTCTTTGGTCGAAATTAATTTTTATTTTTTAGTTTCATCAGGATGTCATAACGGCATTGGCACACACAGACACTGACATTAGGCCCAATTAAAGGAAATGCCTCCGGCCAGGAAGTAGAAAGACGAAGGTAATAAAGATAAACATGGAAGCTGGAGTTAACAAGGTTACGTTCAAATGTTTGGCCACTATCTCCATGAGCAGAGGTGACTCCCTCTAATCCTGTTTTCTTATCTTGTCAGTGGAGTTGAGACACCTGGCTTTACCACTGTAACATTCTTATCACTCAGCGTCCCCTGCGGCTACACAAAAGTCACAGTGAAGGCTGAGGAGGGGAGGCCACGGTGGTTCGGGCGCTCTGAAGACCTGGTCTGGGTACAACCGAGCTTGCTGGTATTTGCTCTGACTGGCAGCTAAAGGCTCAAAGGCAGTGGGCTTGGCAGGCTGGCAGTGCCACACCCTTACCCCAGGTGGCAGGGAGACAGGCGTGGCGAGGGCAGCACCTATTCTGGAGGGAAGGAGTCACTAAAAGTAGCACTCTAATCCTGACTTTCCTACCCAGCCTGCTTCAGATGTTTTCAAGCAGGGCCAGTCCCTGGGAAAGCTCTGCTCTCTTCTGTAACCTGCCCTCCCTGGGCATTGTCCTGGAAACTCAAAGAACCCTGTCAGCACTCCATACCCCAACATCCTTTACCCAGATGCCCTCATCTTGACCACCTGCCGTTTCTCCACAGAGGCGTTGCACTCTGCCTTCTGCTTGGGGCTCTCTGATTCCAGACAGATGGTCAATATGCTTTGAGTAGATACCTGATGAGCAGGCAACGGAATAATTCCGTGGGTGTGGGGAACGAGAGCGTGGACGTGGATGTGCAGGGCTAGGCTCTTCAGGCATGTTCCTGTGTTCTCTGGAAGGGTGAGTTAAACTGTTCCTAACTTTTACAGAATCAGAAGATTACAAAACCCTATTTCACTGTTAGACACGCTTTGTCAGAAGTCGTCCTGAATTCCTGTCTGGCCTCCAGAAGAGTAAGACTCTTGAACAAGTAGAAAGAGGAACGGCAGCAGCGGTGGCATTCACAGACCTCAGAACCCTCCTGTCTGTGACATGGAACCGTGCTGTGCAATGCTGGAACATGACACGGGACAGGAGCCTCAGCCACTTGTGCTGATGGCTGTTAGAATGACAGGCGGTGACAGAGAAGGAAACTATGGGAATTGTTCAGGAGGAGGAAAGCCCCTTCCTTCCTTGTGTTGATTTAAAAATCAACGGATTTTTGAAGGCCAGTAACTCTGCCATCCATTTGTCAAGAGCTAGGATCCCCTGTTCTCTCTGGAACCTGGATGGAACAGGAAACCAGGATTACTCATGCCAGGATCCTCCAGGGCCAAATGCCTCCCAAACCATAGTCCTGGCCTTTGCCGTGCCTGCTTCTGAAACTGAAAAACAGCTTCTTCCAGAAGCCAGAGGCGGACATGGTCACACCCAGCTCTCGGCAGCAGACAGCTAAGCTCCTGGGCAGGGAGCTGTGCCAGGCTTCAGGATTCTACGCATGAATGCCCCCTTTCTAAATCTTGTTCAAAGGGGTCACACTGGCCCAGAGACTAACAGGGAGGGTAGAGAGTCACAGACATAGCCCAGTGAAATGGGCTCACACTTTACAAGGGGGGAATTCTAGGGCGGGGTCCCTGCTTCATGCTGGGCTCTGGAGGTCCCGCCATTTGCCTCTGCCAACGTTGAAGAAACAACAGAACAGCTTTGCACCCCTACCCCAACAGTTCTCCCTCAAGTTTGGTACCTAGAAGGCAAGGGGACAGGTGTGAGCACAAACATCTACGTCCCCAGCCCTTCCAACATTCGATTCATAGTGGCATTGCCCCTCAAGCTCCCTCTGCTTTGGCTCCAGTGTCCTCTTCCTCTCCCAGACGGAGGACTGCCGCTGCTATTGGTGAAGATAGGCATCCAACCAGAGCTGCCCCGACTCCTTCAGTGAGCTGTAGGACAATAGGAGCAGACAGTGAGAGGTGGGGGCTGCGTCATCCACCTGCAGACACGTACCCTTCCCCTCAGACACTTTACCGCCCCTGCTTAGTTAGAGGACGCTGGCCTGGTCACGGACCAACACCACCCTGCCGTTGCCATGGCGATGCCACTGCAGATGACCAGGGACCCACCCCACTCCGTGCCACATGCCCGTCACCCTGCTGCCCACTCCCCAGGCTCAGACTCACTAGACGATGTCGGCAAAGGCTGAGAACAGGGGCTTGGACTTGTACTTGATGCCGTACTTGGCACACAGGGACTGCACCAGGGGCGCCACTTTGTGGTAGTTGTGTCGGGGCATCGTCGGGAAGAGGCTTCAGGGACAGCAGGGTAGTTAGTGGCGGCTGCTCCTCTGCCCCTCCCCCACCCCCTGCCTCCTGGCTCTCCCCACTCACTGGTGCTCGATCTGGAAATTGAGGTGACCGCTGAACCAGTCATTGAAGGCTGACTGGTGAACGTTGCAGGTGGCCTG